CACGCCGCGGGCCTCCCCACATAATGGCAGTGACGCAGAGTCGAAAAGGAAGTGAACGGTATCTGTTACCCTGGGAATGAACAGCCGGACTGCATGCCGGGCTTTCTGTGCACTTCCAGTTTCATGCCCTTCGGTAGATGGCGCTGATCATAACCAGGCAGCAAAAGCCGAGCAGTTGTTGTGGAGGGAGGGGCGGAGGAGAACACGATGCACGATGGACGGCGATGGATACGGCGGGCTTGGGGACCACCCAGGCGCTCACTAAGGGCGGTTCTGCTCTTGACGCCAGGGCTGCGGCGTTGTGTCGACCAGCGGTCCTGCAGGCGTCGGTAGCGATGCGGTGCCGCCCGCTCGCAGCAGCTCACGGTGTGCAGCCCGTCATGAGCCAACCCCTCATTGGATAAATACCTTCCTACGTCATCTTGCCTACCGCGCACGTCACAGGAAGGCGGCAGACGGCTGATTACACGCAGAGTGGCGGTAATGGCGTTGACTATATATGCGCAACCGACGTAGCCCAGGATGCTCTTGCCTGTCAATAAGGGCGAGGGCTCGCATCCTGACGGTCTTCCTGGAAACTAAATTGGGCATTCCGTACTTAAGACATTGTGTACCTTGGACATTGTGCACCTTGGGCATTGTGTACCTTGCACATTACGTACTTTGAATGTTTTGTACTTTGGACATTGTGTACTTTGGACATTGTGTACCTTGGACATTGTGTGCTTTGGACGTTTCGTACCTTGGACAATACGTACTTTGGACATTGTGTACTTTGGACATTATGAACTTTGGAAATTCCGTACGTTGGACATTGTGTACTTTGTACATTGTGTTCCTTGGACAATCTGTACCTTGGACAATATGAACACCTCCACACTAAGTTTTTTGGAAGTTAGTTCTCATTTTGGATATTCTGTACCTTGGACATTATGAACTCTGGACATTCTGTACCTTGGACAAGCTGTACTTTGGACATTCTGTACCTTCGGACATTCTGTACATTGGACAATACGATACGGACTCCTCACATGACACCTTGCCGAGCATCTTGTTGCAACTTGAGCCGTCCGCGCAATATCCGTTGGCCGAGAGGCGCAGCGGTTGCGTCAGCACACTCGCGCGTGACCGACGGTCGCCGACGGTTTGCGCTCATGGAGCGGCCGCCGGCGCCGACGACTCCAGTGCGTTGTTCGTCACGTCACCCCACTGGCAATCACGGATGACGTGACCAGACATCCGTCACGTGACAGCACACCGTCACTATCAATAGGTGCCCAGTGTTGGCGAGAGGCAGAAGCACATGCACGCACCGCGTATGTGGGCGTGCAACTTACGCCGGGACGCGCGTCAATACGGTCGAAAATCGCCCAGCCGCTGCTAGTGCCAGCATGGTCGCTAGATCGCTGTCGCACCGGGCGCCGAGTGCCAGGTTGGTCGTGCAGCGTCTGCGGTGGTGGCGCGTTCCCGGCAGCTGGTGAGTTGTGTTGCCGACTTGTTGCAAGTTCAGTGCGGCGTCGCGCGGCGTCACCTGGTGGAGCGCGGCGGCGCATCGCAAGCGAAGACGCCCATGCAGCTGAGGAATGGCGCCAGGCTGGCAAGGCCGCACGGCCTCCGGGTGCGGTGCCCGTGCAGGAAGCACAGCCGACAATTGGACGACTCGAAGGCGATGTGTCAATGCCACGCTCCCGGCAGCGACATCTGACCAGAGGGCGATAAACACTGATATGCACAGCCGGCGTCCATGGTCATTGTCAGGCGTTTGGTCTGTATGGCGTTGGCTTGTAAAACCATAGCATGCTTTGGCGTCTCATGTTGCCAGCCTGACGGCACGCCCTTTTGGTAACATGGCATCGGCCGGCCGCCCAGGCCAACCCGCGGATGGGCAAAAGAAAGCTCCAGTAACCCCTCCAATCCTCCAATGTTCAAAAATGAGTTCAATGTTCTGGTCCCCATGTAGGGGACGTATCAGATATGATGCTGATCACAACAGATTTGTATTCATAAAAGGTCACGTTTCATTATAGGAAATGATAAAAAGACAAACGAATGCGCTCAGGCTCTGCAGCGCATTTAGACCCGACAGTGTTTTACAAAAAAGCCATACTTCCATAATCCCACGGCACGGTGTAGCGTGTCGCCAATGGGGTGAAGCGCTGGCTCACCCCGCTCCCCATGGTGGGCATGAGCGGGGGGCAAGGCCGTCGGCGGGAGCCACATCCGCCCCGTCAACGCTCCCTGGATTGCAGGCCTTAGGCCGTCGGTGGCCTCACCGCAGCCAGACGGCACGTCGGCGGCGACGACACAAGGCTGCGTCGCCTCGAGGCGTGACGGCAAGCGAGGAACGCCGGTGGAAAACTTGCGACCACACGAGAAGGCCGCAGTTGCCCAACGCCTACGGACATTTCAGGGAAGAGGAAACCCATAGCCGTCAGGCGACCCAGGGACCGGGCGGGGGATACACGCCGGAGTGCTACACAGTCCGGGGCCACGGGAAGCATCTCGTGTTGATTCCAAATGATTACACTAATGCACAGATCAAATAATAATCAGTACAGCACTTGCACACTCACCGCTAGCAGAAAAAGAAGGGGGGGGATGTCTCGATCATTGTCATGTAATACACCAACACACGGATTAGATGAGAATAAGTAGAACATAATTCAAGCAATGGGGCAGCATCTCGTTCTGATTGTCATTCGATTGCACCCATACACGGAAAAAAATAAGGATCAACTGCATCCACACAGTAGGCATACAACCATAAGGGGGGGGGGGGAGACATCTAGTGAAGCGGTGATCACACAATTACACAGATCAAATAAAACACTAGGACAAGGGGAGGGGCGGCAGTACCACTCATTGATCTCAGCCAAAATGCCGAGAATCGATGCAGATGAGGCTGGAACAGGTGCATTTGTGTCGTGCCGGCCGCTGTCGCTCTGGAAGGCCGACGTGCACGCGCCTGCCCCGTGCGCCGGGTCGGCGAGTGATAAGCGACCGACGGCGAGCAGTGCTCAACCCCCCGCACATGGGCACAAGCTCACATGACACTTTCCAGAGCATCTTGTTGCACTTGGGTCGTCCCCGCAATATCCCTTGGTCAAGACCCGCAGCGCTTGCGTCGGCACACTCGCGCGTGACCGGAGGTCGGTGGCGCCGACGACGCCAGTGCGTTGTTCGTCACGTCACCCGACTGGCCATCACGTATGACGTGACCAGACATCGGTCACGTGACAGCACACCGTCACTATCAATATGTGTCCAGTATTGGCGAGAGGCAAAACACGTGCACGCACCGCGTATGTGGGCGTGCAACTGACGCCGGGACACGCGTCAGTACGGCCGAAAATCGCCCAGCCGCTGCTAGTGCCCGCATGGCCGCTAGATCGCTGTCGCACCGGGCGCCGAGAGCCAGGATGGTCGTCCTGCGTCTGCGGTGGTGTGCGCGTTCCCGGCAGCTGGGGAGTTGTGTTGCCAACTTGTTGCATGTTGAGTGCGGCGTCGCCCCGCGTCACGTGGTAGAGCGAGGCCGCGCATCGCAAGCGAAGACGGTTATGCAGCTGAGGAATGACGCCAGGCTGGCAAAGCCGCACGGCCTCCGGCTGCGGTGCCCGTGCAGAGAACACACCCGACCATTGGACGGACCGCAGGCGATGTGTGAATGCCACGCTCCCGGCAGAGACATCTGGCCGCAGGGTGTGCAACACTGATATGCACAGCCGGCGGCCATGGTCAGTGTCAGGCATTTGGTCTACATGGCGTTGGCTTGTACGACCATGTGATGCGTTGGCGTTGCATGTTGCCGGCCTCACGGCACGCGCTGTTGGTGACATGGCATCGGCCGCCTTTGAGCTGATGTCAATCATGTGTTTCCGCCAGCGGCCACAGCGTTGAAATTTGATGGCTATTGCTGCTTTTTGTGTTTGTTTGGCTTCCTTCTTGGTGTGTTTCTGCATTGCTTGTTATGTAGTCGTTGATTTTGTTGTTGGCTCTGGCCATGCTCTGTTCGTGCTGGCTTTGGCGTCGGCCCACACATCTGAAGCGATGCGTCTTGGCTGTGTGCCGGCAGCGGTGCGCACGCAGCATAAGCGCAAAGCCATATTGAACACACATACTGATTATGCATGTATTAGAGCACATCTTGATTTATTGACACCGCTGACAGCATAAAATGGGCCGATCCTGGCTGTAGTGCAATGCCAGGCCAACCCGCGGCAGGGCAGGTGCGGGCTCCAGTAACCCCCGCCAATGCTCAAAAATCAGTTTAATATTCTGGTCCTCATGTAGGGGACGTATCAGATATTAAGCTGATCAGAACACATTTTTTATTCATAAAAATACATGTTTGATAGCAAGAAAAAGAAAAGGAAAAGCGGATGCCCCTCCACAATGTGGAGGGCATTTGCACGCGACACGGTTGTTTCTTAAAATTCGGTAAATAACATTATAAGAACGGCAGTAACAATGTACCAAGGCGCCAGGGCGCGCATCGAACAGGGTGTGCTGGTGGCGCCACCTTACGTTTCTACCTTAGCTGAGCAGTGGTGGCGCCACCAGCTGCGTCGCAGATGGCGCCGCGCAACAACTCCCCAGCGCGACGCAGCGCGCTATGGCGGGGGTGGGGCGGGGGCCGGCTTCCCTCCCGAAGGTGGGGGAGGGGGCGGTGGAGGGCCGCCGGTGGGGATCGTTCCCGGCCCACGTAGCGCTCCGGGGACTGGGGGGGGGGGGGGGGGAGGAGACGAGGTGTCGGGCGGCCGCGCTGATCGCTCACCGCTCGGAGGTAGCGGCCCGGGTGTGCGGCCGCCGTGCCGCGCCGAGACGCCGCGCCAGGCCGAAACAGCGCGCTGCTGGCGTCGACCAGATGGCGGCGACGACCCTGACGGCACCGCGGCCGAGAGAACCGGCCGCGGATCACTCGTATTGGCGGTGCCCGAACAGACGTTCGATGTAGATGTCGCGGGACGACCTCAGGGTGTCGCTCACCATGAGCCGCCGCATCAGCTTGGCGTTGTTCCCGCTGACGCGGAGCCGGCGCAGCGAGGCCTCGTTGCCCCGTTCTCAAACGTCACGGTGACGCCGGCCAGGATGACCTCGTCACCGCGGGTCACCACCAGGTCGGGGCCCAGGGTGGAGGCGCACCCCGGCACCCGCCGGATGATCTGCGTCACCACGCCATCCCGCTGCACCGCCTTGTGAAGGCGGCTCAGGATGGCGTTGTGACGGCGCTGGAAGGCGGCGCTGTGCGGCATGCAGCGGCACAGCACAAGGGGCAGCGTCTCGCGCGCGTACCCGCACCGCCGGCAGCGCTCGTCGCCTCGCACACGGCTGCGACGGACGCCGTTTAGAGGCACCAGTCCCAGCCGCGCGCGGTGCACAAAGCGCCACTCGGCGAAGCGAGTAAAGCTGCCACTGTACATGTAGTGGCTGCTCACGCGCTGGTCGCCGACCGTCTGCATCACTTTGCCCTGGTGAGGCAGGCGATACAGACGCTCGGCGGCCGCCTGGCGGACCGCCTCTCGCAAGAGGGCAGCCGCCTCGCGACGCGGCACCACGTCGTCGCCGACCGCAAGCCGCAGCTCGCCGTCCATCGCGCGCCAGGCAACCGGGATGGTTTTGGCCAGCGCTTTGGTGGCGACGCACGTTCGTGAGAAGCGCGTCGAAACGTCGCCACCGTCCCTCATCTCCCTACCATTCAGGTAGTCGCCGAGCTGTGCCGGGGTAGGCTCAGCCAGGAGGCGCTTGCGCGCAGACTCCTGCAGCTGAGAGGCAGCAGTCTCGCGGACGAGTTTGTCCGGGGAGGTGAGGAGCTGCCATGTAGACGCCAGGAGGAGAATGTCGGCCTCGGAGGCAAGCTCGGTGAGACCAACACAGCCGCGCGAGGTGCTGGCGTGCAGGTGCTCCTGGCACGCGCGAGAGGGCAGTTGGAGTGCCCCCTTGACCCTCCAGCGCAGCTCGGCGTCGAACCGGCGCAGAGCCTGTTTTGGGAGCAGACCCAGCCGGAGGCAGTGGGTCAGCCGTGGCAGGATGAACGCGCGCAGCACGTCCAGTTTCTGCCACGGGGCCAGCGCGCTGTCCAGGACGAGGTGGGCGGCCTGCTCCGCCTCGGCCAGCACCTGTAACGGCGGGCACGACAGCCTGGTGTGTCCCACAGGACGGCCCAGGTAGCGGCACGAGCACCGCTCGCCGATCACGGGGATCGGCTGACCCATAAGCCGCACCTGCGGCGACGGACTGCCGACTGACAGCAGCCCGGACTTGCGCGCGTTGAGCGCCAGTCCACACCAGATGCACACCTCCTCCAGTGTGGTGAGCGCGGTGTCCAGCGCCTCCGCGTCGCGGCAGAGCAGCGCGAGGTCGTCGGCGAAGGCGAGCGTCGTGACGCCGTCGGCGGCGTCGAGCGCCCGGACTAGAGGCTCCATGCCTAGGTTAAACAGGATGCCGCTCAGCGGGCAGCCCTGCCGCACGCCGCGCGTGACGGGCGCGGGCTCGGACGTGCCCTGGGCTGTCGTGTACGTGGTCGTGCTGCCGTCGCACAGGTCCTCCAGGGTGAACAGCACCTCCCCGGGTAGACCGAGGCGGGCGAGAACACTCCACAGGTACCTGTGTGGCAGGCTCCCGAATGCATTCGCCAGGTCGATGAAGCAAACGTGAAGCTGGCCGCCGGGCTGTCGCCGCTGGGCGGTGATCGCGCTCTGGAGGATGAAGTTGTGCTCCAACACTCCGTCGTAGCTGCGGAAGCCTTTCTGTTGGCATGACAGAAGGTTCTCGGTCTCCGCCCAGCGGGACAGCCGGTCGGCCCACAGGCCGGCGTACACTTTGGCGATCGTGTTCATTAGGGCGATGGGGCGCCAGTTCGAGGGCTCGCGCACGTCCCCGCCCTTATGAAGGAGGATCGTGCTGCTCTCCTTCCACGCAGCCGGTACCCGCCTGTGCCGCGCGCACAGGTTGAATGCGCGCGTCAGCAGGAGGGCACCCGGGTCGAGGGCCCGCCACGCAACATAGCGCAGGCCGTCAGCGCCAGGCGCTGTGCTGGCGGCGGACATACGGCGCCACACCTCGTCTGCCTCGAAGTACCGGGAGAGCTCGGCTGTGGGCAGAGCTTCCACCGGCTCCTCGACACATTCGGGGTGGGCGTCCCACTCGAACGGGTCGGCAGCGCGGTTGGGGGGCGCAAAATGCTCCCGAATGACGGCGGGCTGAAGTGGGCACGACGGACTCTCCTCCGCCAAGACATCACGCATCGCCTTGCCGCGGTTGGCGCGGTAGAGGCGCTGGAGTCGACTCGCCTCGGTCGGCTCGTGTAGGGGCGGCCGGTACGTCGTGCGGCGGTCTGGCTGTTGGGCTGGTGTAGGGGCCGGGCCGCCGTTCTGGGGGGGGGGGGGGGGGGGAGGGCGACCGCCCGCCGCTGGACGGTCCGGTCGGCCGCGGGAGGGGGAGGGGGCGCACCGCCAGCTGTGTCCGGGCGGCCGTTGAGAGGTGGAACGACTGCCGGCCGCCCGGGCGGCCCGTGTGGGGCGGCGGCACCGGGCTGTCCCCGGCGCCGCGCGGTGGCCTGGCCTCGTCGCTGGTGGTACGCCTCATTGCGACGAGAGGCGTCGGCCACCATACGCTGGAGGAGCGCCTCGCACGGCTCCCAGTCGTCCTCGGGTTCGTCGAGGAGCGGGGTATGAACTCCGCCTGCAGCTCGGTGAGCTCGGGTTCCGGCGTTGGTGCGTCCCGCGGCCGATCGGCTTGCCCGCCCGGTCCTGGCGCCGGCTCGTCCGGGGGGCCACCGCCTCCACCCCCGCCCCCGCCACCACCACCGCGGCCACCACCGCGGCCCGGGCGGCCCGCCCCACGCCGCGCGCCGCGACCCCCGCCCCGCGCGGGCCGTCCGTCACCTGCACCTCGCTCGAGACGGCCGGGCGCCGGTGCGGGGTCTGCGCGCGCGGGCGGGATAGCCGCGGCGGGGGTGGCGGGGGCGGCACCCACCGGGCCGGCGGCACCGGCCGCAGCAGAGGGCCCCGGGCGATGGGCGGGGTTGCGGGGGCCGGCGGCATTGTCCCGGTCGGGCCGGCGGCGGTCTCCGGGCACAAGTCGGCGGGGTCCGCCGGAAGCGGGGCCGGGCGTCGGGTGACGGGGAGGGCGACCTGCGTGGGTGGTGGGTGGTGGGTGGGAGGGCCCAGGGGTGCCCGGGGTCACAGTGGGGTCGCTATCCCGGGGGTCGACGGTGCGCCTCGGACGGCCGCCAACGGTCGCCGCGGCGCACGAGGCCGGCGGCCGGCCCCCTCGCCTGCCTGGCGGGCGGGCCGGCCGCTGATTAATGGCCGCCTGGGGGAGGGGGCCGGGACGGATGGCCGGCCCGGCCATCGCCGGGCGTCCCACGCCGCTCCCGTCCGACGGCGCAACGGCCGCCGGATGGCGACGCGGCGCCGGTCGGCTCGGGTCCGGTCGGCCTGGCGCCGGGTGCGGGGTGGGGCGGGGTAGATGCGTCGCCGGACGATGAGTCAGGCGACGTCGAGCCGCCGTCACGGAGAAGTCGGCGGAGTCGGGGAAGGGGAGGGGTGGCAGGCCGGCCGGCGGCCCATTGGTGGCTGCGGCGGCCCGGCGGCTCATCAGCCGGCCAGGCGAGGGGCAACCCGCCACGCCACGAGGCGGAGAACGACGCCGCTGAGGAGGACGCTGCGATGGTGAAGGAGGTGGAGGCGGACACCCTGACGTCACAGCGGCCACGGGCGGTGGCCACTGATCACTCGTATTGGCGGACTCCGGTGACGTGCTCCACGTAAACGTCCCGGGACCACCGCAGGGTGTCACTCACAATGAGCTTGCGCATCAGTCGGGCGTACACCCGGCTGACACGCAGGTGGCGCAGCGTCTCCTCGTTGCCGCGGTACCAGGTGCCGAGCGGGCCAATCACCAGGGCATGCACGGAGGCATGCTTGCCCTGGCGTCGGAGCTCGGCCACCAGGCCCGCGTACTTGGCCACCTTCTCGTCGCCGGCGGCGCGCAGGGCAGCCAGCCGATTCTCAAACGAGACTGTGACGTCCACAAGAGGTATGTGGGCGCCACGGGTGACCGCCAGGTCAGGCCGAAGGGCCGACTCGGTGCCGGGCACACGGCGGTTCACCAGCACGTCGGTGCCGGCGAACAGAGGCACGGCCTTCTCCAGGCGCGCCAGGATGGCGTTGTGACGCCGCTGCAGCGCCGCGCTGTGGGGCCGGCAGTGGTTGAACACGTGCGGCAGGGTCTCCTTGGCATAGCCACAGCGTCGACAGCGCCGATCACCGGCGCCGCGACGGTACCCGTTCAGGGGCACGAGACCGAGCCGAGCACGGTGCACAAACCGCCACTCGGCAAACCGGGTGAAGCTCCCATTGTACATATAATGCGAGCTCACCGGCTGAGACGCCACACAATCCATCATACGTGCTTGATGGGGCTTGGCGACCAGGTCGCTCAAGGCCCGCATCCGCAGGGCGTTGCGGAGCGCCTTGTTCTCGCCGCGCGCCTCCACCGGAGTGGGGCCGACGCGCAGCTCCGGGACGGGATGGGCGGCGTGCCATGCCACGGGCACAGACGAGGCGAGTGCCCGGGTGGCGACACGCGCGCGGCGGTTCGCACGGTACAGACGCTGGAGCCGACTGGCTTCCTCCGGCTCATGGCGCGGAGCACGCCACGGGCGCCGGTGGTCTTGGGCCGCCGGAACAGCGTCGTCGTCAGCCCCGGCGGCGGGCCCGCCGGCCGGAGCCGCCCGGCCGCCAGCACGCACCGCAGGGCCGCCGGCCGCGGGGGCGGGGCCACCGGCCCGGGAGGCGGAGCCACCAGCCCGGGAGGCGGAGTCAGAGCCGCGAGCGGCCGGCGGTCGGCGCGCGCGCTGCCGGCCGTAGAAGTCCTCGTTGAGGGCAGCCGCTCGCGTACACATGGCCCCGACGGCCGCCTCAACCAGTGGCCAGTCAGCGCCACTTTCCCTCAGGGCCTCCAGCTCCTCAAGGAACTCCTCCTGCGGGGGAGAACGGTGCCGCTGAGAGGGAGGGGCCGTCGGGGGTGTGTCGCCCGTGCCCAGCACGGGCGGAGACGGAGGAGGAGACGGGGGCGGCGACGGGTCACGACCCCGGCCACCACGACGCCCACCCCGGGCACCGCGGCCACGGCCAGAACCCCGGGCGCCACGACACGAGCCACGGCCAGAACGACGTCCGGCACCGGCGGACCCACGAGCCAGCAGGAGCCGGAGTGTCAGCCCGACCGCGAGGGACCACGGCCGGAGCCGGAGCCGGAGAGTGGGCCGGAGTGCGGACCCGACCATGAGGGGCCGCGATCGGAGCCGGGGCCGGAGCAGCGTCCGGAGTGTGGACCCGACTACGAGGGGCCGCGACCGGAGCCGGGGCCGGGGCAGCGGCCGGAGTCCGAGCAGAGGCACGGGCCGGGGCCGCAGCGCGGGCCGGAGCACGAGTCGAAGTCGCGACCGGAGGCGGGGCGGGAGCGGAGGCCGGGAGGCGAGGCGGTGCGCGAGCCGGGCCACGAGACGGGGCGCCAGCCCGACTACGAGAAGGCACCGGGGCCGGAGCGCGAGCCGGGCCACGAGACGGAGCCCCAGCCCGGCCACCAGACGGCACCGGGGCCAGAGCCCGGGGCGGCCTACGGCGGGCACGGACCAGTGTCCAAGCCGGATCCGCCACCGGAGCAGGGGCCGGAGCGGGGGCCGGGGGGCGGTCCGGAGAGCCCTCCGGACGACGCGCGGGCGCCAGACAGACGGGCTCCGTCTGGACGCCCGTGCCACAGGTGCGCCGGGGGAGCGAGGCGGCTGAGAGCCGACAAGCCCTGACAGCGGCGTGATGAGGCGGCTCGGCTGTGTCCGCCGCGGCGGCGGCAGCGACCTGTGGCCACGCCACCGGCGGCCAAACACCCCGCGGGCCTGCGGAGAGGCGGGCGGGGGTGGAGTTCCACCAGACTCAGCCCGGGCAGCAGGCGGCGGGGCGAGGGGTTCCCGGCTCGCGCTCATGCCCTCCCGCTGCGCGGGCACCCGGCGGCGGGCTGGACACGCCCGGTCGCGGCGCCCCTGGCGCTGGGAGGGCACCCCTGCTGTGAACAAAGGCGTGTCAACTGCAGCCACCGGGCCAGGGTCTCGAACAGCTGAGGACCGACATGCATGACGGTCCACCACGGCACACGGGCGGGCACGGTGGCGCACCGGGGCGGCGTCCGGCCACACAGCATCGCCCACCGGGGCGCCGTACACCACCTCGGCGTACGACCGCACCCGGCGGACGGGCGTAAACGATGGGGGGTCGCATACAATGATGGGCATTGAGCGCCCGGGGCTGGGCGGCCGGCATCGGGCCGGCATCGGGCGGAGTCAGATGTTGGTGGTGAAGGAGCGGCCGCAGCCGGCGCAGGAGTGCGGCAGGTCGGGCCGCATCTCCTCCGGGGGCGCCGCCCAGCAGTGGTGAGTCGACGGCCGCCGCGGCAGGCAGGCGCGGCACCCCACACACACCCACGTGGTGCGGTGGGGGCGCAGGCCGTGGCTGCGGGCGAGGTGGCGGCACAGGCTGGCCCGCTACTGCACGGACCCCGTGCCTCTATACTGCATTCGGCAGCCGGCGACGGGGCACCGCGCATGGGCGGGCAGCAGGTATGGCAGCACCAGCTCCTCGTCCCGCTGCACCGGCTGGCCGCGCACTGCCTCCACGGCGAGCCGGAGCACTTGCGTCGCCATCACGTCGCCGGGAGACGCGCGAGGTAGTCGACGGCCGGGGTGACGCGGTGACGCGCGGGTGGGCGACCGGCGAAACACACAGGGCGCAAGTTCAAATTTCGCGCCAAAGCCAACGGCAACGGCCAACTCCTATGTTGAAACGGGAACGTGGGAACCCTATCAAAATAGGCGAAGGCAGAAGACCGGAAGTAGGCGCGAAAAACTTACCTTGCGCTCCCGTGGTCCACCGGCGTCCACCCGGCGCGGCGCCCCCGGCGTCCACCCGGCGCGGCGCCCCCGGCGTCCACCCGGCGCGGCGTCCCCGGCGTCCACCCGGCGCGGCGCCCCCGGCGTCCACCCGGCGCGGCGTCCCCGGCGTCCACCCGGCGCGGCGTCCCCGGCGTCCACCCGGCGCGGCGTCCCCGGCGTCCACCCGGCGCGGCGCCCCCGGCGTCCACCCGGCGCGGCGTCCCCGGCGTCCACCCGGCGCGGCGCCCCCGGCGTCCACCCGGCGCGGCGCCCCCGGCGTCCACCCGGCGTGGCGCCCCCGGCGTCCACCCGACGCGGCGCCCCCGGCGTCCACCCGGCGCGGTACCCCCAGCGTCCACCCGGCGCGGCGCCCCCGGCGTCCACCCGGCGTCCCCGGCGTCCACCCGGCGCGGCGTCCCCGGCGGCGTCCACCTGGTGCGGCGTCCACTCGGTGCGGCGCCCACGCGGTGCGGCGTCCACTTCGGTGCGGCGTCCGCGCAGGCGACGGTGGATGATCGTGGCCGCGGAGTCCCAGAGCACGCAAGCAGTACGCGGCGTAATGGGATGGCGCGCGTAAACCACGAAAAAACCCGCGAACGAGTCGCGCGATAAAAAGGTCACCACAATGCGCGAAAATTCCTGGCCATTGGCTAAGATCGACAGATAAGATCGCTTCTAGGCCTCTTAGCTCAGATCAAAGTGTAGTATCTGTTCTTATCATCTTAATTTTGATCTTAGTCAAAGGTTATTTCAGGTTGAAATTCCGTATTTCCCCATCCGCGCGGCTTACACTTCCAGGTGGTGACGCCTGGCGGCCAGCAGCTCAACTACTCAAGGTCAACGACGACGGAGACTACGAGCTAGTCGTCGGACGGGTCGCTGGTGAGCACGGGACGCGAAGTAAGTGCACGCGCCGACTTCCGGCCTTCCGCCCTTCCCCTGTTTAGGTCGGGAGCCCCGTGTTCCTGCCCTAAATAGGAGTTGGCGGCTGCCGTGGTTTTGGCGCGAACACTTCACGCGCTTTCCGTGCTTCGCCGGCGGCCCGCTAGTCGGCGCCTCATCCCGTCCGAGAGATAGCGTTGCCCGTCACAAGTCAGCCCAGCCGCCCGGCGTCTCCCGTCCCGGGGCGGCAGCCGGAGCTGGACGGTAGGGTTGACCAGCACGCCGTGGGTCTGCGCCGGGTGCCGGCAACAACTCACCGCGCGGCCTTCCCGGCATCGCTGCACGGTGCCGGTCCGGGCCCGGCGGGCGGCCGGCGGCGAACTGCCGCACGTCTGTCCGTGGTGCCGGGCCACCTTCACGACGCGGCGCGGGCTGCTCAACCACCGAGCCCGCTGCCCGCGTCTGCCCGACACCGAGCCGGCTCGGACCGTCGACCTCGGGCTGCAGCCAGCCGGGACCCCACCGGGGGCGTCTCCGCAGCGGCCACCTGCTGCCGCCGGCTCGCCCCCGGACTCACCGCAGTCTTGGCTCGGCGAGCGACTCGAGCGAGTCGCCGGCCTCCTCACCGGCCGGCGACCGCCGTCAGCGACGCCGGAGCCGCCACCAGCGGGGACACCACGCCGCCCATCACCGCTGGCCCGGCTGGGCAACGCCCTTCAACGAGCCGGCCTCCACCTGGCAGGCCGCCCGCCGCGGAGGGCCTCACCGACGACGCCAGACGCCACATCACCTGCCCCGTCGCCGGTGAGTGCCCCAGTGCTCCCTGCGCGCGCCGGGGCGGCCGGCCCGAGCCGGCCGTCCCTTCCCACACCGCCTACTACACTTTGATATTAGTCAAAAGGCCGAGAAGCGATGCAGAGGCATTTTCATTTTCATTTTTCATTTATTTTTTTAGGCGTTTCGGCCTGTTCAGACCATTTCACGCCTGGATGATGTTATTTTAAATTGGTGTAATTATGTATGTGAAGAAAAGTGTACGTTTATTGACATTTACAAAGCTTGAAGCAAACCGGCAAGTCTGAGGAAGTTAAAGACAATGTTAAGCAGTTCAGGATGGTCATCGCCAAGGACGTTTCTTAAAGAAAACTCGATATTTTGATTACGACAAAAAGCCTGTATATCTTTGCGGTGCTGTTGATATTTTGCGCCACTCAATAACAATATGTTTAACCCAAAGTGAACGATCGCACGGCTGACAGTGAGGACGAGGTTGACTTAAGTATATGTAACTATGTGTGAATGTAGTGTGTCCGATTCGTAAACGGGCCAGCACCTTCTCCTCCAGACGGTCTTTACGATGCGTTGATGGCCAAGGGGTAATGTCTGGTTTGATATCATGAAGTTGTGTTCTGGTAGCATCGGTCCATTGTTGTTGCCAAAAATGTTTTGTGCGAATGGAATATATTGTAGATGCATGATCAGCAGGGATATCCATGATGTGCTGGTTTGTCAAAGCTTCCTTGGCTAGTTGATCAGCCCGCTCATTGCCCATGATGCCTGTATGTCATGGAATCCATAGAAATTTGATATTCATATCCTGTGTATGTAATATATGATAGAGATTGACGGTTTTAACAAGGAGGTGGTGTGTGAAGTCTGGGTCCATAAGAGATTGCACAGCTGTCTTTGAATCGGAACAAATCGCTATTGTCTTCGTTTTCTGGGTGTGTTGTTGAATGTGTTGCAATGCAAGGAAAAGAGCAAATAATTCAGCCAAATATACTGAGGTGCCATCCGGTAACCGGCAGTTTTAATGGTAATGTTCAGTGCAAATAACTGCACATCCGGTGTGGTTATTGGCCTCGGAGCCATCGGTGTAAATAAAGCTGCTATTTTGATTGTTGACAATTAGACGATTAAATGTTTGTTGAACATAACTTGTTGTGAAAATGCGTTTGGGATCATCAAAAAGAAACAAAACTTTCCGAGGGGTTAACTGCCATGGTGGTTCTATTAAAGCAGGTGGCATGGAAGAAGGCGGTAAAGTAAACTGAAGAGTGGTACAGTAGATAGTGGTTCGAGATGCTATTGTAAGT